CTCTTGGCACTGTGGTCTTACTTCTCTATGTAGATGACATCATCCTTACAGGCAGTCATTCCTCTCTTCTGACATCAGTTATTGAAGCATTGAATACAGAATTTGATATGAAGGATTTAGGCCAATTGAATTATTTTCTGGGACTGCAAATTTCTTATCAGTCTTCTGGTTTGTTTGTGTCTCAGGCTAAATATATCAAGGAATTACTTGCTAGGGTTGATTTACAGGAATCCAAACCATGTGCTACTCCCTGTCTTCCCTATCATCACCTGCTCAAGGATGATGGCAAGCCTTACTCTCATCCACAGCAATACAGGAGTATTGTTGGAGCTCTGCAGTATCTTACCTTCACAAGACCTGACATTGCCTTCTCCGTGAATCAAGCTTGTCAATTCATGCATCATCCAATGGAATCTCATGTTGTCGTAGTTAAGAGAATCTTGAGGTATCTTAAAGGTACTCTTGATTTTGGAATTCATTTTCAGCCTGGTATTCTTAATCTGCAGGCTTATAGTGATGCTGACTGGGCTGGTGATCCAAATGATAGACGGTCTGTCTCAGGTTTTATTGTTTACTTAGGATCAAGTCCTATTTCTTGGGCTTCTAAGAAACAACATACTGTTTCTCGTTCCTCCGCTGAGGCAGAATATAGGGCTCTAGCTATTGCTGCTGCAGAACTTGCCTGGATTCGCCAACTGTTCTGTGATCTTCATATCCCTTTGCATATTCCTCCTTTAATCCATTGTGATAATATTTCTGCTATTTCCCTTGCTTCAAATCCAGTGTTCCATTCAAGAATGAAGCATCTCCAGATTGATTATCATTTTGTCAGAGAACGTGTTATCAAAGGTGACTTGCTGGTCCAGCATGTCTCTTCTGCAGACCAGTTTGCTGATATCCTCACTAAGGGTCTTTCAACCCGTTTATTTCAGCACCACTGTTCCAATCTTATGCTTGGCTCCTCCAAGCCTGCGATTGAGGGGGAATGTAAAGATATCAAAGGTCCTAGTCTTGCCACATGTCAAGAGATTAAAGAATCAAGTGGTTAAAATGTTGTTAGTCTTGTTAGACAGTTAAGAAAGTCTGTTAGCATTGATAAGTGAAAGAAAGAGAGGTTAAAGAACGTGAACCAACTTCTAGCTATAGCTTAATATAAAGATCTGTAATAGTGTTAGACAAAGATTAATGAAAATACAATAGTTTATTCTTTCTCTATTCATCAGAAATTCTCTCTGCTTCCCTTCACTTTTCTATTTGCCTCTGTAATTCTGCTATCTTGATACTTATTACCTAAAACATTATGTTTGAGTTCCTAAACAGAACACTAAATTTGGAGATTCTTACAGTATCTACAGCTGAAAAGCAAAAACAATGGCAGATGATTAAAATGAGAGAAAATGGACATCTAATTAGGAGTTTTCTTCACAAATGGAAGAAACACAAAAGAAAACAAGACAGAACTTGAAACAGACCAAAATTAAAGAACATAACAACAAATTTTTGAGAGAAAACCGAAACGCTGCTGCCATGGGGAGGAGGCGGAGAAAAGCCTCCTCTTCCCCCCTTCCGTCTTTCTAGTTTCCGTCTTAGGGAATAATTCCCTTGTGGTGACTTTATTTGAGTTATACTCAGATTTAATCACTCAATCACCTCTTTTATGCTCATTCCTCATTCCAATCCTTGCCCCAAAATCCTATCTCTAAACTCTTCAATTTTCTCAAACTTTATTTCTACCCCCGATATGAAGGATTTCACAGCGATTTGCCTATGTATATCTCGCAATGGTTGCCAAATTTGGACTTTTTGTTCGCTATTATGCGGCTGGATCGTTGGAGGTTGACTCTTTCCCAGATCTACCCTTTGTTCTACAGGTTCTTACTGGTTAGATGCAGTGGGTTATATGATGCCACAACTTCGATCTCACCATTGTTTCACCAGCTTTTCTCTTCTTCTCCTTTGGGCCTAATTCCTTTGTTTTAAGAGTGTCACCTTGAACCAAGAATCCTTCATTTAGCCCTTTTTATAAAAATATTTAAAGACAATTCGTTTTCTTGGAGATGATTAATTCTCTTGCAAATATATGCCCTCTTTTTCTTCGACTTTGTATACAATTGATGTCATTTCTCTTTCAATAATTTTTCATATGTTCAACACTAACAAGCTTTCTCAACTATTATTCAATTTATGGCCTGAATTACCCATTGATATTTGTAAGAGAATCTAGAACATTTGCTTCATTGCTTATGAAACTAATTCGATTATGCTACTAATTTTTAGGCTTAAATCAAACCAATTCAAAACGAGTCCGATTTTCCTGTTACCAAAGTTCCTGTGCCCCTATGTTTCCTCCTTAGTTTTGTGACATGTGGCACACAACTTAACAGGAGTTTAACTCCATTAACTCTCTTTTAGTATTTTTTTTTCTTTAATTAAAACAATTAAAATATATTATATTAGAATACACATTTGATAAAAACACTATAGGCAATTTCATCTTCTACACTACACTTCAACCCCTGCATCTTCTCTGCACTGCAAAACTCAGCCACTTCATCTTCTCCGCTCCACGAAACTTGCGACAATCATATACCCAATATGCCATTCATTTGAATCAAATTCATTTGTTTCAATCTTTTGATGACTTTTCGTTTTCATCTACAGTAACAACTAATATAAAATATATTGAATTTTCAAATTAAAATGTAGGATGGGAATTAACTTCTGATGAACCAAAATGCTGGAGGTTTGCTTCAGCCAAATCAACATTCTTCCTTCTCTTTTTCTGGAAAAAAAATAGTGAAACCAAATGAATTGCATAATGGGTATATAATTATCGCAAATTAATCGTTTAAAAACTTCTTGTGCGATGGCTCAAATACCAGCAACCAAAAAGGGGGAAAAATTATGAAGTAGAGCCTGGCTTACCTCACAGACCAGTGGTCAACGAGTGAAATATATGCAGGGCCTGAGTTTTGGTAATTATATACCCATTACGCAATTCATTTGATAATTATATACCCAAGATGAAGCGGTTGAGTTTTGCATACGATGTGCAAAAACTAGCAATCAAAAAGCAAAAGAAAAAAAAATGAGTAGAGCGTGCCTACCTAATGAACCATCAGCCAACGAGCGAACTAGAAAAACAAACCATATGCAGGGGCTGAGTTTTATAGAGCGGAGAAGATGAAGTGGCTGAGTTTTGTAGTGCAGAGACCATGTAGGGGTTGAATTGTAGCGTAGAAGATGAAGCAGCCTGCAAAATGTTTTTGTCAAAGGTGTTTTCTAATATAATATATTTTAATTATTTTAGTTAAAGACAAAAAATGCTAAAAGAGAGTTAACAGAGTTAAACTCTTGTTAAGTTGTGTGCCACATGTCACAAAATTAAGGAGGAAAGATGAGGGCACAGGAACTTTGGTAACAGGAAAACCGAACACATTCAAAACATGATGTTACATTGGTTTAATGTGGAATTTGAGGTTTAAATCAAACCAAACCGAATCGCACCCAGCCTAATGGGAGGTTGCTTTACAGGACCAAATTCGTTGTATGAAATAATAATAATTGTCTAATTACCAAGTTGGTTGTCCAAAATTCAATATGTAATTTGGGCCACTTCCGTCTTCCCTGTCTATGCCCCTGCTATCAACGCCACACAGCCCTCTTCTCTTCTCCCTCGCAGCCACCCACTCCGGCCTTCCCTCCCCCTCCCCTTCCCCTTCTCTCTCTCCCTCTCATT